TGTATAGTATTGTAAGTTCTGATGACCTATTGAGGAGATATTTAAAATACAATATAGATGAACAATCCGAGCCATCTCTACCTGATCCTTCTTAAACACAGCGTGTTTTTATAACTTAGGCAGTCTACTATTGTCCAATAACGTTAGGATAAATCTCAGTTATTTATAGATAAACCTTAAGCCATCACGCAATGATAAATAGTAAAGTTATCACTTTTTCCACAGTACATTTAAGTAAAGGTTGAATTCGTGCCACTGAGATACATAAATTGCTGTAGCATTCCAACAACTTGTGTCCTTCCGCGTCAAGAAGTAACAGCGGATTACTTTAGCTAAAACTCGCGCGCCACCGACGTCATTTTTCATACACTCATAATTTTCTTTCGTCAGTCGTCTGGAATTTTCCGCATTATTTTGTATGAAGTGTTATGTTTGGGGATATTTCTAACTACAACTTAAGCTCCTAATAAATCTACCGAAATATACGCTAGTCTTAACTTAAAGCCCTACCCCAACACTAAGGTCGATTAAGTTAAAATATCTGACACTTGTAAGCTATAGATATAATGTTACTCAACGGGTCTAATTGGTTTCAGAGGCCCAGCCTGCCCTAAATCACCATCGTACCGTGACAACACGGTCCGATTAGTGCTCTCGAACAACGGAAAGGATGATTTTGTAGACACACCTGCTTCTGTATTGTTTGAGGTTAGAGCCGTGTTCCGGTAGAAACAATATGATATACATTCCAGATGTGAACCCAACAATTGTTCCCCACTGTACGTATTATAACGGTACCTTAACTACTGGTGGTACGTATTGTAACAGTAAAGTAATACCGGTAGTTCGGTTTGTAGCTATTAAATAATTGTTGCTTCTTTTGTTTCGTCTAATTCAAAGACGTTACCGTTGGAGATGAACACCCAGGGAATCACTTGTAGAAGTTGTTCGGGTGTAAATTAAAAGTAGTTTCCATTATCAATGTAGAAAACGCGAACTGTTTCAGTTTCAGATTGCTTAAATGTTAGCCTAATTACGGGGGTTATTTTCCCCTGATTGTAGTACATAGCTCTTAGGGGTCAGGAATAAAAAGTAGGGGAAGGGGCAAACTGGAAGTGAATCAAACCTGCATAAAATATGGCTGCAAAAGATAAGCAGAAACAGGGGAGGGGCAAAAACTTTAGAATTATAGTGGTAATTTGGGCCTAGTTACATTCTGTGGCAGCCAAGAATATGATGGACAAAACAACGACCAACTAACGTGACCTTTAACTCTGTGGCAGCCAAGAATATGATGGACAAAACAACGACCAACTAACGTGACCGTTAACTCTGTGACAGCCATGAATATGATGGACAAAACAACGACCAACTAACGTGACCTTTAACTCTGTGACAGCCATGAATATGATGGACAAAACAACGACCAACTAACGTGACCTTTAACTCTGTGACAGCCATGAATATGATGGACAAAACTAATTAATACAAGTTAGGGAAATCATAAAAGTATGTCTGAATTTATGGGAGGGTTTGTTTGTTTGTTTTTAATTATGCACAAAGCTACACAAGGGCTATCTGTGCTCTGCCCACCACGGGTATCGAAACCCGGTTTCTAGCGTTGTAAGTCCGCAGACATACCGCTGTGCCACTGGGGGGCATTTTAGGGGAGGGAGGATGCGTTTTAACCCAGCAGACCTGGCGAGTTCAGGTACGGTGCAAAAGGCCTCGAAAACAAAAGTATAGTTGAATATTCTACTTACTGAAAACAGATATCGAACGAGTGAATAATAATATGATTGAAATTATTGTCGATTTTATTGTGACGTCATATCACACCTGTTACCGTAAATGAAATTAAGCTTGGAACACTTTTATAAACATCCGATGAAAAATATTAATTACATACAAAGTGATCTAGAATTGATAAGACAGAACTCGGGGTTTCGCATACAATTCATTAATATCAAAATAATGGAGAAAATCAGCAGTAATTATTGCCAATCAAAATCAGGCAGCACGTGCAGTCAGTCAGTGACTCCTTCAATCCTGGTGAAAAAAAAGGCAAGTGTCAAAATATCGGGTTTAACTCTCCAGAGAAGCATTTCTAGATAAGGTTCTAACTCTCCAGCTTTATCTGCAAACGTTGGAAAACTAATACAACCTAAGGGTATATTTGGCAAGTGAACCCCTGGCCATTGCAGATCGATAGAATATTTTATCGAATATGTTTTCCAAGGTTTTGGCAAATGTAATAAGACATGAAAGATAACTTTCGAAATGGTTTAAAGAAACGTTTGAAATATTCCACATGCACGCACTTAGTAAATGATACTATACAATAATCCATTAATTCCACTAGATGGCGTTATACACAAAAGTATATAAATTAGCAAACACGAGACCCACCAGCAGTTGGTAGGTTTGTTTGTTTTTGAATTTCGCGCAAAGCTACACGAGGGCTATCTGCGCTAGCCGTCCCTAATTTAGCAGTGTAAGACAGCAGGAAGGCAGCTAGTCATCACCACCCACCTCTTGGGCTACTCTTTTTCCAACGAATAGTGGGATTGACCATCACATTATAACGCCCCCACGGCTGAAAGGGCGAGCATGTTTGGTGTGACAGGAATTCGAACCCGCGACCCTCAGATTGCGAGTCGAGTGCCTTAACCACCTGGCCATGCCGGGCCCATTTGGTAGGTAGGCATATTTGACCTTAAAATTAGCAGTACCACTCGACCAAAACGTTTCGTTGTGGTAACCACATTCAAATAATTTCTTCGCGTATTTCAGCTTAATATATTTATTTCTGCACTGAAGAAATAATAAAAGAAAGAACTTGAAAACTATTAATTGTTTTTAAAGTAACATGTATTGTTCATTTGTGAGAAAAAACTCAACAATTTGAGTTCACGATTTTGTTACGCCTGTGCACTGTAAAAGACGCACATACATGTTTCTTTTATCCCTTGGTTTTATATTGATATTACCACAACAGAACGACCCCTCAAAGTTTTTAGAGGATTTTACGACCCTCAACTTTGTACAACGCTATAACTACGTGATAAAAAATAAATAAATTATTTCCAGGAATATATATCTGTTATAATTTACTAGATCGTCACAAAATCGTATTCTAGCACCTAACGTTGGATTAAATAAAATGTTAGATATTTTTATACAAATA